TTATATATATATATATATATATATACACACACACACACACACAACCACACACACACACACACACACACACTTGTGTATATACATATATGTATATATATGTGAGTATTTATATATATACATATATATTATGTATACATATATATACACACACATATACAAACATACACATACACAAACATACACATACATACATAATATAAACATAAACACATGCATATTATATATATATATATATATATATATATATATATATACATATATATATATATATATACACAGATGTACACGCACAACTATTTGATTAGCATTGGTCCTTAGCACCCTTTGAAAAAAGCAAAGGAATTCCTTTAAGCCTCTCGGGCTCTTCCATCGACTGATTAAGAGTTCCATTGACCGGCGAGACATGCAATATACTCCTGACGGACGAATTACACTCTTACTCACTCACACGCTCTCTCTTTTGTCCCTGCCCTCTCTCTCTCTCTCTCTCTCTCTCTCTCTCTCTCTCTCTCTCTCTCTCTCTCTCTCTCTCTCTCTCTCTCTCTCTCTCTCTCTCTCTCTCTCTCTCTCTCCTGTCTATCTGGCCATTATCTCTTATCTAAGCCTCTTCTCCTCTTTTCCTGTCCCGCTCTCTCTCTCTCTCTCTCTCTCTCTCTCCTCTCTCTCTCTCTCTCTCTCTCTCTCTCTCTCTCTCTCTCTCTCTCTCTCTCTCTCTCTCTCCCTCTCTCTCCTCTCTCCCTCTCTTCTCCTCTCTCTCTCTCCTCCTCTCTCTCTCTCTCTCTCTCTCTCTCTCTCTCTCTCTCTCTCTCTCTCTCTCTCTCGCTCGCATGTGTACACGAGGAAGCCAATTTTCTTAACTAGTAGCAGCGTTGTTCATGTTGTGCCTCGAATACTATAATAAGTTATCCTGGCTGTTGCAGTTCAGATACATTGTTAGATTCTGTCCACTGTCATTAGTTTGGCTTTTGGAATACTTTACCCATTGTGCCACCGTGCCATAAAGCCTTAGTTTGTAGACGTAGTTTGGGCTGCATTGTCCTAGTTCTGCATCCCATGTATTGGTAGTCCATCTTGTCATTAAGGGAGTGATAACGTTGGTAAGTTTGAGCGTCCCGTCACTGTTGTTGCGAACTTGCGACCTCTGACCTTCACCGATAAACATGTATTTCGCATCAACTGATATAACGCTATTTTAGTATGGGTATTTAAAAGTTTAGCTATTGATAAAAAAGGTTAATAGAGTGGCTGTGGAAATGTTGAATGTACATTATCGCTCTGGCTCACACTAGAATAACACCCCACGTATTTCTGCATGTCCGCATAAACTGATCAATTTGTAATGGACGAGGATGCATTCGGCTACCAGCGAAAGCGTTTCATTTTGTCCTCTAATGCCATCAAATTATTGATGAGGTGCATATGCAACTGTATTTATAGCCTCATCTCTGCAGTTATGCAACGGTAGTTAACGTAAATATCACTCCTCGATTTTATTCCGCAGTAACTATCGTTAATTTTCCCCCAATCATACGAGCTGTAAATGACGACGTCCGTTGCAGTAGCGATAATTCAGACACGCGGCAATAAGCGAACCACTCAGCTGCACGAGCCATTGAGAGCGTCACATGTGGCTCAGTGACAACTATATGATCCGGCTGTAACTCTGTGGACGCGCTGCTTTAAACTTCGACGCGATCAGTATATTTAGCTTTGAAGCCGATGTAATGACTCCAGCCAGATAGATTAAGAACGGCCACTGATTGGTGACGGGAGGCTGTTTCATTCCGAACGCTGGAGCGCCATTTGCCAGGTCTTTATCAATTAACGCGCGGAAATCTAATATCTATGCTAAACTGAGTGCGTACAATGGAAACTGACGCTTTGACGATTTGAATATATTACCCCCGAAATCAAATCTACATTATTCGGGATAACAGCGCGCGCGTTATGATTTATTCGCTGACGAAATGTGTCTCCGTCGCCGCTTTAAACACAAATGTTTTTCCCGGAATAGCGATCGCTCACGGACATAACTCCGCTGACCTGCGCTCGCGTGAAAGGAGGCGAGCGACAGCCGAACACTTGTGGTGCGCGCAATTTCGAGTCGCAGGTGTGCGAAGGCCAGGTGTTCACATTTTTTCTTTTACTTTTTTTCTCGTTTTAAAAAACCCAAGTGCTGTTGCTGGCTCTTGTCGGTGAGCGAACAGGGTGGAGTGAAAGTATTTTAAGTTGTTGACATATTTTGATTTGTATCTGTAACTAATTCCTTTGTCAGTTTTAGGATTAACTGGCATCGCCTCTTTTTGATAGGTAGATTTACCACGGTGCTTGCCCGGAGGCAGTACTCCACACTATACCAGTGATATAGATGAGTCGGATCGGGATGCTGTGAAACGAGTTAAAATTCAGGAAGGGCTTATTCAAAGGGAAGGGTAGAATATTTCGAGTGAAACGAACAAAATATACGATATAAAAAGTCCTTTGGCCGTCTTTTTTACTTTTTTAACAGACCTTTGAAAATTACCCTCGAATATAAAATTCGCAGGAACGCCTTCTCGTAAACATTTGCGAATATTTCTGAAATTAAAAATTCCTTCGTTTATTCGTATTCTTTGTTACAATTTCATGGGGTGGGGTGGGGTGGGGGACTTTGCAATTTTTAATTAACAGTCTTAATGGGAAAAGTGCATGCATGCAATATCCCCTTTGTAAACGGAACTGAACCACAAAATAAAAGTTGACGAATCGGTAAATACGCAACTGAGGGGATATTTAGCGACGGGAAGCGAAGGGAACGGAAACTATGCAAATGGCAGCCAGCGGACTCTTCCCGGGTGCAGTGATGAGCGCGCTTGTTTACTCATTGAGTGGATGTAGATTGAAGTAGTGAATGTTAGTTTAAACTCTGCACGTAAATGCTCGTAGGATGTCCGTTGATGAGAAACAGCGTTGCCATTAACCTAAAAGTGGGGCATCTAGCAGGCAATTTGTTTTCGCAGTTTTAAAAGCAGAGGAGATGGACACACTGTCAGTTTTTACCGACATAGTTTGGAATCGCTTCGAGGTTCCAACGTGAAAATCTATTGATCTCTTGATGACCTGACAGCCGGCAATCAGTATCACTTTCATTTCCCATTTTTCAACAGTTGTGTAACCTCATTACCATTATTTTTACTCGTCTTTTTGTAAACCAGTCTAAAGTAAAGTGATTCGTGTTTCGACCTCTTCAGTCGCACTTTTAAAATAATTCCATTTTCCATATTAATAAACAATGCAAATGACAAAAAAAAAAAAAAAAAAAAACAGTTTATGCATTGCTGGAACTTGAATAACCCTTTGCTAGCCAGAGCGGAAAATTCACGAGACACAAATCTTCCTTTTTACTCTAAATCCGGACAGGCAGACACTGTCGACGACACCCATGGTCGAGTTGGCTTTTTCGTTTGAATAGAGAAAGAGGCTGATAACGGCTCAAGACGGTCGAGATTGCATCCAGATACAGCGGGAAGTGTGCTTTAAGATCTCAGACGTTCTCTTATTCAGTCTTTGAACACTTTCGCGAGTGCGTTCCCCCTCCCCCCCCCTACCCACTACACACACACACACACACACACACACACACACACACACACACACACACACACACACACACACACACACACACACACACACACACACACACACACACACACACACACACACACATACATGCATACACATACACACATACATATACATACACACATACACATATACACACATACACACACATACACATACATACACATACACATATACATACATACACACATACACATACACATACATATACATACACACATACACATACACATACATATACATACACACATACACATACACATACACATATACATACACACATACACATACACATACATACACACAACACACACAGAAAAAAAAAACAAATTTAAATATAGAGAACATATATGTAGAAATACACATCATCATATGCATACACACACATACATATACACGCTCACTCACTCATACTCAAACTCAGTCACTTACACTCAAACTCAGTCACTCACTTATACTCACACACACACACACACACGCACACACTCACTCACTCACTCACTCACTCACTCACTCACTCACGTCACACCTCACACACACTCACACACACACACTCACACACTCCACACACACACACACAACACACACACACACCACACACACACACACACACACACACACACACACACACACACACACACACACACACACACACACACACACACACACACACACACACACACACACACACACACACACACACACAGCTACCTCTTACCTTCCCCATGGATCTTCCCCAGCACTGTCATTGGACCTTATACCACACGCTCACTTTGTCTTCATAATTTAACCGTCCTTTATCATGTGTTCAGGTTTAGTCTCTTTCTCTTCATTCCCTCCTATTTGAGGGGATTTTCCAGTTATCTTTGTGTTATTTACTCATTAGGTTTATTCCATTATATATTTTATATTTGCTTAGGGGAAGTTGTTCACCCCTGATAGCTCCATTTGTGTCCTGAAGAGCCATTTCTTTGTGATCATAAAGCTGGGAATAATTGTATTAATAAGGAAGTTTTAACAATAATCTGTAAAATGATTACATCTTTCACAACAGCAATGTTTAAGTTTGTATCAAAGCCTTCTGGTAATTAGGTAGGTATTACTCAGCAGGATTATTTGATGATAAATTTCACCTGCTGGGATTATTAATGTGAGCCCTGCTGTCCGCATGGAGTAATTAATTGCATCAGATATCTAAACATAGCCTGTATCTGCACATGCATGTAAACACTAACCATTTGTTAAATACATTTACCATACATTTTTTTTACACGATGTTATATATGAAGACATATTGTTGATAGGTCAATCTTCTTCAAAAGTTTATCTATGTCTGTTGATGAATTTGTATATCTGATACAGTCTTGTTTCCACCACAGGGTTCGACAGGCCTGGGCATTATGATCATCGAGGGTAAACATGCGGAATATGGCCAGGGTATCTTCATCTCAGATTTACAGGAGGGATCTGTAGCTGCAGAGGTAAGAACAGATCATTAAAAAAAAATTAGAGGCAGAAAAAAAGAATATTGAAAATTGCTTAATATTCAGCTTTGATAGTGGTTCCATTTTGAACTGAGCTAATGCATTTTGCAATGAACTGAATGTAAAAAGGTTTGATTATGTTGGTGTAAAATATGCAAATTATATTATGGGGAAATGAACATACTTGGAATATTTTCATGTTCCTTTTCCACATGACTATAGTGTGTATTTATGTAATATGGCTCTATAATTTTAAGTAATAATGGATAGAATGTGTAAAGGAAAGGAAACAGTCTTCATGCTAATTCAACAGAATTAATATCATCACATTATTTCTAGGCTGGATTGCTGGTAGGAGACATAATTCTTTGTGTAAACAAAGAAGAAATGGTTGGAGTTGATTACGATCAGGCGACCAACATTCTCAAGAAAACCGAGGGTGTTATCAACATGTGGGTAGCCAACCCAGCAAGAGCAGGTGGCGGCGATCCAAAGAAGCCTGCTGCAGGCAAAAAGCCAGGTAAAATCGATAAAACTTTGAGATTTGTTGTCTACTGATGCAAGAAAATTTGGAGTATCTGTAGATATAGAATTTTCATTCTTATTCATAAAATAGATGCAAAATTATAGGCAAATTGAGTTCCATAATGTATATACATATTTTTGCTAATCAGTTATTTCATTCATCATATAGGGTGATAAATTGACATAATTTACTCATATTTACCCATGAGGAAGTAAGTTAGATACTGTGTATACAAGTAATTGTGAGAATCTTTTTTCTTTCAATGTTGGGCATCGTATAAATTGGGTCATAACAAGTCTCTCTTACAGCAGTAGTGTTTGTGCTGGAATATTAGAAGTTAACTTTGACAAGTTCTATTTTTGCGTGCAAAAGGTTGAAATGTTTATTGCTTTTTGTATATAGATGTTGCTTTCATCAGTTAACTAGTCTTTTCTTTTCTCTTGTTAATCTGTTATAATCTTCTTTGTTAGACGTGGGTAGAACTGAACCTGTTTTCATCTTCTCTCTGGTCTGATGAAGATTTTTTTTTTCTCATTTATTTTAAAAAGGATTCTGAGGTTTCATACAAAGTTTAAGTTGTTTATATGGTAACTTTGAAGAATATATTGTAATTGAAGGAATATTAGGGTGAAACTTTTTTATGATAGTATATATTTGTTTGAGTTGACTAAATGAAATGATGCTATTGTTCAATTCTCACTTTCATCTCTCATAGTAATTTCTAAATAATTCTTTATGATAATTTACATTTCTTATACTGTTCTATTCCGTAAATTTATTTATTGATATTGTTTTGAATATAAATAATACAGTCATTTACACAAGAAAGAGAAGCTCAAAACCTCTCAGGAATTAACCAAGTAATAGTATTACTTATGATAATAATGATAATGAAAAAGATTCACAACAATGTAAAGAGAGGGAGATTACTATTTCTTAGTAGAAAACCATTTGATACAACTGTCCTTGTTTGTCACTGATCTTCATTGATGGACTGTGTATGTTTGAGTGTAGACAGTGTTTGTGTGTATCTAATGTTGTGCGATAGTGATTGAGATACTAACACGGTGTTGTGCCTCACTTTCTGTGCTTTTTGGCCGTGTGGTGCCGCTGCGCCGTGATCCTGGTGGTCATTGTGGGCTGGTGCATGGCCCTGTGAGTATGACATGTCGACATGTTATCCCAATATATTTGTTATTATGACTTTTTCCCTGTATTTCCCATGCCTCATCCAATCCCTGTACAACCAACACCAGCATTACCAGTCTCTTGAACAGCTGGAACCACCTTTTTTATATACATATACCTTATTGTCATGTTATGTGTCCAAATTGTGTTTTGTGTGTTTCATCCTTGGCAGTATTGCTTGGTATATCTCTCTGTATCCTGACATGTAATTAAGATATGATATTCTTGTGTATAGTAAGTTAGTTTTTGGTGCCAATGCAAATTGAAAGCCTTTATAGATTATGGAATGGTTATTAGGGTTTATTTTTATTAAAAACACTAACTTTATTAAACTAACACTACTTTATCACAAATTGACACACTCACTCTTTCTTTTACGAAAACCAGAAGATAGCAATGAATAGAAATATAGTTTGCAGGAACCACTGGTAGCTGGTATTAGCTGTTTTGTATTGCATTTTGTATACTATACATTATGTTTTATCTTAAATAGGAAAAAAAATGTGTTCCCTTTACTTGGATTGCGTAGCCTAGAAAGAGCTTCAGGAGAAAGTGACTTATGTTTGACATGCATTTACATTACTTATTTGTGTTTTAGTTATGAAACATTCGGTGGTGCTTTTTGCAGACATCATTTGTGCATTTTTGAAAAGCTTTCATTTAAAAGGCATGAATTGTCTGTCTTCTATGATATTAGAATAATTGCAAGAAATATTGAAATCTCAAGGGAAAAAAACAAACAAAAATACATGAAACTCATATTTTTTCAAGGAATGTATTTTTTTTTTTTTTTTTTTTATTGATAATATGATGGTGTTCATAACTTCGCTAGGTAAAATTTTAATAACTACAAAACATTAAATATCAGAATTTTATAAGGAGTTTTCTGTAGTGCTCTTATTTGAATATTTTACTGACAGCTAGTATAATGTGTATTTTTTTTATTAATGTATAATAGTAAATGATAATCCTGAAATATTCTTTACTTCTATTCCAAGATAAAACATGAATGCAAGCCTTGTGTGATTTTTTCTCAATAACAATTTTTTATAAGTATCCAAATTCCTTTCATTCAGTGTTTCATGGCTGGGTGTTATTGTGTGGCTTTGTAGTTAGACTAATGAATATAGAAGCATTTATTAGAAGTATGATTGGAAATGCATAGAGACTAAATGAAAATTCACTCTAATCCAAAAGAAAAAGTACCATTTCTTTGCACTCTACTCTTTGATCTTGTGGTACATGTTGAAACTTTCACTGTAGTGTGTGATCTATGTATATATGTAAATCATTCTAGCAGAGTTTGAAGGAGTGAAGCTTCATTCCATTCTGTTTTTCTTTCCCTGTATTTTTCTTTTTTCTAAAAAAAAAAAAAAAAAAAAAAAAAAAAAAAAAAAAAAAATCAATGAAAATAAAGAATGCCATTTCATGACAGTACAACCTATTTTCAACAGATGTGCCACCCAAACCTGCCTTGGGGCCTAAACCTGCCCTGCCTGCCAAACCACCGTCGATCTCTTCCTTGCCCCCCCCTGCGGCCACACCTGTGACATCATCGACGGAAATTCAAATGGCCCCTTCTTCCCCTCCTATTCCACCTGGCCGTGCTGCTCCTGTGGAACGGTTGTCCTCGCATGGCTTGGCCTCCATTACCTCAACGACATCCTCGATATCAACTGCATCTTCTCCCTCTTCACTTGTTGCAACAGATGAGCCGAAACAGGTTGGTGATTTTAGAGTTGTCATTCTTTCTTGGTTTTCAAAATCATTGTCATCATCTTTTATTGAATTACTTTCATTATTATTTACCGAGTGATTTTGAGATTTTTAATTATTTCAGATTTTTTTAGTAAGTTTTTACTTATTTTTTTCATTTTGTAAAATCTAGTTTTTGCATGTGGAACAAAATCATGCTGTATTCATTTCACCCCAAATGGAAAACTGAATGCCTTTTTCAGAAAGGCGCAGCTGCTGCTGAAGGACCAAAAGAGGTAGCAAATACTTTTGCTTTTAGGTTGCTATTGGCCAAATCTATGAATGTGTTTTATTTTGACAAGCACATTGTTGCCAATCTTACAAGTGCTTTTGAAAAAATAACAGCATTAAAAAGGAAAATTGCAGTAAATATTATATAAAGATATCTAGTGAACTCTAGTTAGCTATACAGTTTAATACTTCTTTCAGAAAGCAACTGCACCAGAGGCACCAAAAGAGGTAGCAAAGAAATGCTTATGCTTATACATTGCTATTGCCAAGAAAAAAATATTTTTGACATATTTTGCTGCCAATAGCTTGAGCAGCTCAGATATGGCATGCCTTTTGAGTGTGCTGTGAAAACCTGTACAATGTTGTTTATATTTCTGTCAGATCTTGAAAGAGCAGCCTCTTTATTTTTCAAAGCAAACTACTTTACCCATTTTTTTTTTCTATGTTTATTATTCAATAACTGTTTCAGAAGACAAATCCTGTACCAGAGGAAGTCAGAGAGATAGCAAAATGCTTCTGCTTATAAGCTGTTATTGATGTTTATAATGCACAAACAAATTTAACTATGACCATTTCGATACTAATACACAGAACAACTCGAGCATGAAATATGTACTAATGTGTGCAGATCCTGAGTTCATACTGAAATCTGTTTGAAACGTTACAAAAAGAATATTAGTGGGATGATTTTTAAAAATTTCTTTGAAGAAGCAAAACAATGGCATAAAAGCAACAACAGTAGTTGCAAGATATTTTTAACTTGATGATATTGACAATTAAAGTAACAGGATATATTATGAAGCCACTGGTTAGAGCATTTGCCATGTTGTGTGAGCAGAAAAGAGTGCTGGTTGAACTAATGTTATACTACCAATACTTGGAATTTACTTTAAATTTATCAGAATTAAGAATTTGTTATAGCAGCAAGCATTAGAGAAAATCTGACTTTCATGTTATTGTTCAGATTTATTCTGATCATATTTGCTATTTTCAGTAACCCATACAGTGATTATTAAAGTATGAATTACATATTCATACAAATTTCTAAAAGGATATCCTGGACCTAGAGATAGCTAACAAAACTTTTCTATATTTGTTACTTTTGTGAAAAAGCAAGCAACAAAATTTTATATACAAATACATTGAGCCATTTTATGCATGAGTTATAAGAAGATGACTGTTGAGCCTGAAAAGA